AGGGATCCCCTCCCTTTGACTGAAAACTGCGCCTCGGGTCTCCCCCGTGCGTCATGCTGGAACCGCCTGGCGTGGCATGAAATAACTGGACTCTGACATACACTGATGTGAAATCTGGACATGTGTACAACGCACAGCTATGTTGCGTCCTCACATGACATCACCTTCATGCCGCCACAGAGCTGTGGTACACTAGACTATCTGAGGTCCCCCTCCCAGATGGTCTTGCGTGTTGTCATGAAAGGAAAAATTTGAAACACAACGAAAAACATGAGGGCACGGCACTTGCTCAGTGGTCACCCTACTGAAAGTCACCTGGCTCTATTATTTTCCTCTCACGCATGATGTTACTGCTGGGGGCGGTCATGCAGGCTGGATTGATGCTCTTATCCAAGCCCCGAGCTGATGAATTCGGCTCTCCATGGCCGGAACGGGCCAGTGCTGCTGATCAGCGCAAAGGCCAAAAATTCGGCTTGGGCAGCTTAGGCAGGCGGCCACCATGACGCTGGCGCTCGACGGAGGCACTGGTCACACCAGGGGCGCTCCCATGCCAGAGCTTCAAAGACGTCCGTGGACATGTATGGGTTCACCAGGCGCTTCGCCTTCCCATCGGCCTGCTTATGCTGGCACAAGGTGATGCCGTCCTCGACCGTGACATGGGTGCTGGACCTCTCCGTAGCTGCATATCCCTGCGGCTCAGGGTGCTGTGTTCCCACCGCGGTGTCCTGGAAGGTCTTATGCAGCCACTTCCGCATGCCTTGGTCGCGAATGACCTTATTCAGCTCTGTGTCCCTGCGGCTCTCCACGTAGTGGTTGGCATCCTCAATGGACTCACCGGCCAGCAATGCACGGCAAAGGATGCCTAAGAAAGCACCCCGGTGTCGCCCCTTGATGCAGTGCACCACGACGTTGTCGCCGTGCCAAACAGTGTTCTTGACGGCCGGCCACACATCCGTCCACTGTTCGTTGCGTTCCTGGCTGTATGCCGCCGCGAAGGTCATCAACTGAGCTCCCGGGAGGGTCACCCCCCCCGGCTCTCAGGACCATTTGGGAAGCAGCAGATTTGCAACGCTGTCTTGGGGAACTTGTCCACCGTCTGCCTCATTGGAAGTCCTGCCAGGTAGATGCCACCACCCTTCCGGGATGTCCAGATGCAAGTCGGGGCTTGGGCTGTCCCTGAGCCCACACCCAACCGCTCCAAGTGGAGGTCCAAGGTGTCTCCTGCTGCTTTGCCACGGCCTTTCTTTGGCATGGCCTTGATCTGTGGCTTCCCAGGAGCGGCCAAGCGCTTCGGCGTTGTGGTTGTAGCCCTGGACTGCGCAGCTGTGGCCGGTGGCTTGGGTGTGGCAGCGGCAGCCTTCGGAGGTGTCTTGGGGGCTGCAATGGCTGGCGCCTTAGGCGGAGTCTTGGGTGCAGCTTGACCTCGGGCTTTCTTGACAGCTGTGCGCATCACCTCGGCCATCTCGTCGTCAGTGGCACCGCTCGCCGCGGTTCTCTTCCGGCCAAAAGTGGCCTTCTCCCCCACGGCTGCCGGCACCAAGGTGGCCGATGGCTTGGGTGCTGCTGGCACTGCTGTTGCTGCCAACACCGCCCGCTTGATGTTGCAGACGCCTGCGCCGTGCTTGCCACCACATGCCCGTCCTGACTTTTGTAGGATGGCACACAAGTGCACTCCGAAGGGGCAGGAGTCTGCCGGATTCGGGCACTCGTTCGTCTGGAACTCCGGGCAAATGGCCTTACCATTCTTCAAAGTGGCCGTCAGCACCTTGCCATTGAGTTGATCAGGCATCTGAGGTGCCGGTGCGGCTTCGGCCTCTTGTCGGGCTTGCTGTGCCGCTTCAACGAACTGCTGTGACAACTTGAGCCTCTTCTTCACGTCCTGAAAGCTGTGTGCAGAGGCCCACATAGGTTGGCGGTCTTGTCGCAGCAACCTGTCGGCTTCAGTCAGGCCATGAGCTCGGGCTGCATCTAGCTCTGCCTGCGGGATCGCCTCCCACAGCAGGTTGCTAGCGAGCTTGGCTGTAGCGCCCCAGATCAGGGATTTCACCTTGACCGACGCGGCGTATTTTGCCGAAGAATAGTGAAATGCCATCGCCCCCACCTCTGGTTGCTCACTCTTGTTTTGCCAGTCACCCAGGGCTGCCATTTCTTCAGGCCTGCATCCTAACAACTGGGCCACCGTGGGTGCAAGCCTCCTCCAGCTGTAGGTGGTCAGGTCTTCTGGATTGTCAAGGAACACGGACATTTCCTGTTGCATCGTCTCTTGCACTTCTAGGATCGTCCATGGGCGCCCTTCGTCCGAAAAACAGAGGCCTGCAAGTCTCTGCCTTGCTGGTGCCAGCGTCCTGTATGCCTCCAGCACTTCCTTGGCCCAAAAGAAGCCGTTGGCAAATGTGGCCGGCACCGCAAAGTCGAAACCTTCGCGGGCATGCTTTGTTTTCCCTTAGGGCACCTGCAATGGAGGAATGCAGCGGTGAGGCGCCGAGGTTCTGACCGCGCGATATGCGCATACCTCAAACAGCCAAACGACATGATCCAAGGAGCCAGAAGAACTGACCACCTCTCATCGCCGACCGCGTGCAACTCCATGATGCGGTCCTCCAAGGCCTGCACTAATGGCGGCTCCACCACTGGTGCTTGCCCACGCTGCCCAGTCGCCCTGGGTGTTGTAGGCACTTGCAAGTTTCCCAGCTCCATGTCTTGGTCGGCATTCTTGTTCATCCACTTCAAGGCTTGGAGTGCTCGTGCTGGCGCCTGGGTATGGTTGAGGAACTGATCCAAGTCGACCATTCCAGGAGGAGCGGGTCGCCCCCGACTCTCCAAGAAGGCCCTCAGCTCCAACCAGGTGTTGACCACTCGGTCAATGGTCGCCTTCTCCGCGTCCTTCACCTTCTTCTCGGCGATTCTCTTGCACGTTTGTTTCCATTCGGCCTTGAGGGTGTCTGTCAAGATGCCAGCTGGTTTGTATGCGCCCATTCCGACAAACATCGACACCAAGCCGTTCACCCGCTTTTGGACGGCCTCATCCAAGTTCTTGGTGACGTTGACGGCCTTGGGCTTTTTCTTGTAAATTGTCTTGCGCACAGGGCGCAGAGTGACGGAACCCTTGGGGTTGTCCTCCACGACTTTGGCCCCAGCAGCAAGGAGGTGCTCTTCCACCCTTGCTCTTGTCTGCAGCCAGTCATCCGCTACGTGATGGCCAGCTAATCCAACGACTTGATCGTAGTCGGTGTAGGCATAGGCGAAGTCGTTGTCGTCCAGGAGGCCTTCATTCTCCCTCCATTGACGCGCCCGCTGTGCAGCTATCATCATCAAGGAGTCGGCTGCTCTCCATCCCGGTTCAGGGTCACCCCCTGACGAGGACGAGGCTGCCGCTTGCGCTGCATAGTAGCCTTTGCCGCCTGATGCCATGGCGCTGCACCCTAACAAGATTGCTAAGGTGCGGAGAGCAAAAAGATGCTGCGGTGACTTCAGAGGTGCCTCCTCTGTCATAAAATCAACCTGCAGCAAACATCTTCTTACGTCCTCCACAAGTGCTGCATGGCTCACGCCAGGTGAAGCAGTCGCTACACATCCCAACGCAGCATGCCCAGCACACGCGCCTGGTGGGGTCTCCGCACTCTGTGCAGGCGGTGCCCAGCTGAAGCATGCCTGCATCCTGGCATTCCAGCCATCCACATAGCGCTCGATGTGCCCTGGTGCCGTCTCTCCCCCAGGCCACCCAGGGTCGCCCCCTAGGTGCTCTGGGGAAATGCCGCGGCTCGAGGAAGACCGGCAGGAGCTCGTGAGGGCCTGTGCATCTGAGCCAGCTCCTCCATTGGTCGAACAGCTCCCCCAAGCCCAGTTGCCCAGCGTCGCCCGCTGAGCACCTGAGCTGCAACCCGTAGAGATCCTGGGGCACGATGTCAGCGGCCACTTTGAGCTTCGAGTAGGCGGCGACCAGCAGCAGGTCCATTGGGTCCTGGTGCTGGTAGTAGTACGCCCAAGCATCCGCAGGCGCCACATCGTCGGGCAACACAACGCCACGGCTGTTCCACAAGCCGAGCCACGGGAACTTGAACCCCCCCACATGAGCTGCGCAACGCTGGCAGTCATCAAGGCAACAGGGTAGCTTCGGCAGAGGGGGGAAAAGTTCTGAATCTGTCCCAGTCGTGATGACGTAGGGAGAATGCAACACTTCGATACCATGCATCCAGCATGTGTATGCTGCAGCATCAGAGCCCTCCCGCGCCAGCCTTTCCACGTGGCTCTTGAACTCCAGGAAAGCAGCAGCATGAAGGATCTTCGCCTCAGTGGCTGCCGGGATATCGATTCCTGGGAGTTTGCGCTGCATACAAGGTCGCCCCTTGTAGATAGTTTGAACCACCCAATCAAGGTCTGGAAAGGTCACCCCTGACCAAGACCAAGAAAGAAAACAGCAATGAATGCTATTTTGGTTCAAGTTTACTTGAGCCAAAATGATAGCATTCATTGAAACACTTAAAGATGATACATGCACACCCAAGCCTGCCAAACTCAATGCATGGGTATATATATATATAACATATACATATATTATGTGTATATATATATATATATCACAAAAGCATATTGTACGTATAGTTATGTATGTATAAATATTACGTGTACACATATACATTATGTATATATATATATGTGTGTACATGTGTGTTATGTGTATATGTATATGCATACTATGTATATATATATATACATACATACATACATGACATGACATGACATGACATGACATGACATGACTTTACTTTACTTTACTTTACATTACATTACATTACATACATACTTTGTGTATATATATATAGTATGTATGTATGTGTAGATATGTGTATGTGTATGTGTATATATATATATATATAGTGTGTATATATATATATATGCATGCATTGTGTGTGTATATACTGTATATAGTAGAAGACTCCTATTCTCCCATTCCCAGGCGGGACTTCAGGGGTAACCGTGTAACAGGAGGCACGGAAGGCCTCTCACAGGAGACTTTGCCTCACAGGGTTTGTCTAGGACCGAGAACCGAGATCTGCGGGGTACCCCATTTATGGATGGATAAAATCCATGGAAAATCCCATAAAAATTGATGATATTTCGGGTACCCCTATTTCAGGAAACCTCCATATGGGTTTGCCTGAAAATGAGGTATCACCCCCCACTGATTCGGCCATTTGTTTTATAGGGATGATGATGAATCAATTCATGGAATGGGGCAGCCTCTTTTTCAGACAAAGCTACAGTTGTATATGGTGGGGCGTGATATCCTGCATTAGACTCCATGTGCAGCTGAGAATTTAGAAGCCATTCACCAAGCCAGGTTTACCCAAGTATTTCTTGTCAGAAGTCCTGCAGCTGCGACTGCAATAATGCACAACTCTTCTATATGTCAAGCAGTTGGGGCTTTGACAGAAATACCTTCCCCACTATCATGGAACATCATGGAAGGTCCAAAATTGGTTCTGAAAGATGATGTTCCTATTGGAAATTGCCGGTTTTTGGTCGTTGGGAATTTCCCTATGGGCGTTCTGTGCATGCCATGTAGGACTCATGCTGCCATGTCACGGAACCCCAAGCTTGACTTTGTGTCTTATCAGTGCCACGCGCACGAAGGTATCTCCGCTTCTCCATCTTGTACCTTGCCGCAAGAGGTCAAGAATGCGCTCATGCTTGCAGGTCAAACCAAGAATCTAGCTTGTGGATGATTCTGGTTATATGCTACCTACCGCTACCATTCCATAGCTGGATATAGCTGCCTTACCTTATTACCTTATTCTTTCCACCTGCCCCTCCGGGCTCTCCGGGGGTTTCTACATACCCTCCATATGAGGAATGCTCTTGAGGTTCCATCTTCGTGTTTCAAAGATTAAAGTCAAGAATGAATGCCTTCAGCTTCTACGTATGTCATGATAATTCCAACATATTCCAAATCTGAAAGATTCGATGTAGCTTACATCTATAGTTGTACAGAAAAATATTCCTGGCGCTTCAACGGGAAAAAGCATCCTTTCTTGGCAATTGTGCCACAGTCGCCCTCTTCTTTGCGGACCAGGTACAACATGCCAACGAGAATACATACAAAGATGCCACCCACAATCGGCAGAAATACCAGGGCCACAATAAAGAAAACTCCTCGAAGGGGCAGGGAGTCATGGAAAGGGCTAAACCCTGGTCATCGGGAAGCATCATCCCATGTTTATATGATATTTTATGCATGTTTGAGGATGGAAATGGAACATGAAAACATATGAAACCAACAACCAGATATTCGATGATATTCGGATAATTTTTGCAAAGCATCTCATGAGGCGGATGCTCATTCCACCACTTTCCCAGGAATTCTTCTCAATTTTAAGCTCATTGGACCTATTGGGTTCAAGTTTGCAGCTTTGGTCGTATTTCCCACCATTTTGGCGCAGACACACGCGCACACACACGCATTGGTATGGGTTGGAATTGAGCGCCCTCGGCACTGGATGGTTTCATACTGCTGTGTATTGACATATAGCAAAAAACTGCAAAACCATGTGGGTTTGACTCATCCATCAGCTTCTTCCCCTGTTAATCTCAGCTCAGCTACCAACAAGGCCACTGAAGTAGCCTCGGCCACTGACGTTCTTCACAAAGCTTCCTGTTTGCCTCACGTCCAGGGCATGCCAAATGAAATGTGTCCAAGCCAGAGAAGTTCAGATGGATTGTAAGACATATCAACAGGGGTCTTCACATGCTAGAGTGCCTGCCGACAACTGCCATGAATTTTCAACACGATGAACAGAATTCCAAAGGGACCACAGGTATCGTCATTCTGCATTTCAGATCATTATGTTTTCCAGCTCCAATTTACTGATTCACAAGAAGCCCCAGCCACATCTAACCTGCGCCAAGTCGCGTCGTGAGGATCGAAACTGTGCCATCAGCCAAAGCTGGCCAGGCAGTTGATTGAACTGGCACGTCCTGCACCTTGGCTGCCCCAATAATCAGAGGTTTCTTCCCCTATGGCCACCAGAAAAACCGGTGTTTTTGTTGGGGTTCAACAAAGACAAAAACAGAGTTTGGGACTCCTTTCTTCATCAATTTGAACAAATGTCGCTTGAAAAACCGTCCAGCGATGCATTTTTTGCTCCAAGATGCATAGTAGATCCTGCTATTTGGCGCATTGGTGAAGTTTAGCTCTTCCGGGAGACTGTTTCGGATGGCTGAAGCCTGTACCTACAGCCAGGAGTTGGCAAACATGAAACCAATATGAAACGCTGTTAGAGTAGCTGGTCTGGTATAGCCCACAAATGTAGGTGTGTCTGAAAATGATGTATAACGGTAAACCCAAAAAAAACCGTGTTGTAATTGTAATGGGATATGATTAACCATGGGATTTGGGGATAGCCTATTTTCAGACAAACCTATATGGTGTCGTAGGTTTTGACCCCGCAGTGATGACATGGGAACTCAGCATTGAGGTCCAAGCCCTTTTCAGGTTGCTGACGACAGCGGCTTCAGAGGTGATATCAGGTCTGCAGGTTGATTTGCCTAGGAATGAAGAAACGGAGGAATTTGCCTATCATCCTGGTCCTGTGAACGATTGAATGTGGCCAAATTTGCTAAAGATATGGCTAATTCATAGCGATTTCCCAAAGCCAAAGTCTGCCGGATCAATACCTTTCCGTCGCGCCTTGAACCAACTTGGCATAGCTCAACAAGCAGGTGTAGTCCTGGAAGCGAGTTTTCCAGCCCCAAAAAACTCTAGAAAACCACCAGCCCCTGCCTAGCCACCACGTGCACACCGAAACAAACAAACAAACAAACAAACAAACCACGGCTCCTGCACGATTGCGACTTGGCGTTGTGCTCGGGGTTCCATGATACCCAGGGTAAACACCCTCCAGATGTGCATGGGAAACCAAAGTAAACCGCTTCCTGTCCTCAGTCCACTAGGGAAACAACCCGAAAATAGAGGTGTCGTAAGCGCCAAGCTGATAGGCATTGTAAACATGGGTGAAGTCCTAAATCCCAGTGATCATTAGGTCATATTAGATCCCCATATTGTTGGTTGTATATCCCACTATATCCCCATTACAATCCATGTCTGATGAAAGCTCTATTATAGTGCCCTTATGTTACCATCGTGATTCCCATATAATATAATATATATATATACATATCTATATAATATATATATATATCATATATCATATATATATATATGTATATATATATATAGTTTGTTATATATCCCATCATATGCCCGTTTTATTCCTATTGAATCCGAATGTATAATGTGGTATAAACCCAACGATAAACAATCTCATCAAATAACCATGACTGGGGTCATTTTACATCATCCCATTGAGGATTCGTTCCTTTTCATTGGGTTTTACCATGGTTTTACCTCGTTCATGGTGGTTTTTCATCAACCGGTCATTGATTTGACCCAGTTGCACACCGAAAAAGTCGCCAGGCGTCGTGGTGTAAATCCACATTCCCGTAGAGTCCATGGATTGCGTGTCCAGTCCTGACCCCCGACACTGGAGCTGGTGGGGCCATTGGAAAATCGCGGCGGTGATTTCTTGGAGAAAAACGCTGGTCACTTAAGCTGAACAAGTATGATAACCAAGCATAACCACAATTACTGTTGCTATTGAAACTGATATTGATATTGATATTAATGATGGTGATGACGTCGACGTTTTTTCCGTGCCACTAGTCACCATCACAAGCACATCCACCATCCCCAACCGTCCCCCAGGCACCCAGCGGGCACCACTTTTTCGGTGTCCTAAGCTTGAACCAACCAGCCAAAGGTTCATGAGCTCCATCCCTGCGCTGCTGCGATGGTGACCGTGGTGGTGACGAATTAGGGCAGGTTTATAATGGTGATATAAACCATTAAAAATGGGATTGAAATCATGATTCATCGGGTTTATAGATATCAGGTTTCATATTAATGGTGATTAATGGTGATTAATGGTGATATAAACCATTATAGCGATTCATAGGGTTTAGTTTATAGCACCTTATTGATGTCAGCCCCTATGGTGATCCCATCCCTAATTTTTTGGGCAAACTTTTGTTTCCTCCAACTTTTGACTGCGGCACATAGATGATATTCAATTCATATCATATGGAGATGGGTCAAAACCTTGTACCCCTTGTGAATATCAAAATAGCTGGTAAATGGATGTTCATCCCACTAAAAATGTACGAGTATCTATAGGTATTGATCCATACCCATATATCCAAAAATGAGGAACATTCAAAGTTGCTGCATGTTGATCTGGTGTGTTTTTCACGCTGAAAAGGTCGAGCGTTACTCCTCACACATTGTTTCAAGAAAGGCGCCTGCATCGAAAGCCTGCGCAGCCCAAGACTTGAAACCAAGGCCCAAGTCTGGCTTCACCTTCCAAGACTTACAAACCCGGTGACAGTGAATGGACCAATGGATTTACCCTCGGGTTTCATCATGGCCATGCCGGAAAATCCACCAGTTCGATGGTTTTTTGTCATCAACCCCATGAAGACTAGGATCTGTATGCATTTTTGCAATATTTTTGATTAATAGAGGGTAAGGGAAAGCTTACGCAATCAAGGAGACTACATTGATGGCTGCTCCTATTGATAGATACACAGATATGGACTACATTGATTTGATTACAGTACATACGTAATTAGGTTGAAACTGTAGTGGAGTCTAGAACCCAAATTCCCTAGTGTTTGGTCCTTTCTATAACCATCGCAATTGCAGATGCTGTGAAGTCACATCCCAGGCGTTGGCAAACGTATCAAAGGTATTGTTACCTCGCCGGCGATAGGAAGGTGAGAAAAATTTCCGGATCTTCGACCATCATTTTGCGAAGAAAAAGTTGTCAACTGTGTTGGAACTATCTCTACTTGCTGGTGCTTAGCAGGGAATGAGGGAATGATCCATAATCACTAGCAATAATCATCCCATTCCCCCATTCCCATCCATTCCCTACCAAGCACCAGTAAGTCTATATACTCTTAGCTGCGAATCTCAGTCAACTCCCAGGAAATGATAAGCCTCTGTTGATGGTTGGTCCAGCCGGCAAGTCCACATTCTATTTTGGTGTTCCAAAGCATATCCTCAAAATTCTTCAAAGAAAAATTTCAGTAACCCCAAGGGCACCCTGGAAATCCCTGGAATAATATGATTTGAGGCAGAGGCATCAACAGAAACTCAAACAGCTGACAGAATGTCTGCTATTCAACACTCTCCTATCTATACAGCTCCTGGGCGCCAGAGCCAAGCTACAATTCCGGTCGCTCATCCAAACACCATGGCTGAAGACCAGTCCTCTGTTCGAGATGCAACTGCCATGCCCGACCTACTGTGCCTTCCAGTCTTTTACCTCAACTTTGTCTCTTTCAGGATTGCATCATCATCACCAGCGACAGTGCCGCCGATCAACACAGCCACATCAGCCCTTCCGTCCATCTCTGAATGCGGACGAGCATCGGTTATTCCCATTCTTCCGGGTAATATCCATGGTCCGGTAAGGAGGTTGCCCCAGCGTGAAGTAGACATCATGTGTTTCCTGGATCGTGGAGATTCACGCAGACCAATGGATGAACCCTTTGCTAATCAAGCATGACAAGCTGAGAAATCCCCGAACTAAATGGGGTGCCAATGGGAAAACAATCGAACTAAATGTTGAGTGATTTTTCAGCAAACCATGGTGATTACCAGAAATTTTAAAATCTTGTTCCCCATTCGCTGATCGCTGAAGCCAAGGGTCGTCGTCGACCGTTTGCAGTATTGGCCTTGTGGTGTTGTCCTTGTTTCATGCCGGCAACCAAGTGCCACAAGTCATCGTCCAAAGGCGTCTGTGAACAATCCAAGATTACTATCCAAAACAACAAAATGGCCTTGATTTATATGTATGTATATATATATATACAATTATTATATATATATATACAATTATATATATATAATTCTATATACACATATACATACACATATACATATATACAATTATATATATATACACATATACATACACATATACATACACATATACATACACATATACATACACATATACATATACATATACATATACATATACATATACATATATACAATTATATATATACACAGATATATACATATATATATATATACAAAATTACAATTATAATATATATATATATGCACAATTATATATACACAATTATATATACACAATTATATATACACAATTATGTATATATATATACAAAATTACAGTTATACATATATATATATATACAATATACAATTATGTGTATATATATATATACAAAATTATATATATATATAATTATATATACACAATTATATATATATACACAATTATATATATATACAATTATATATGTATACAATTATATATAATTGCATATATGTACATATATATATATATGCACAATTATATATATATACATATATACACAATTGTGTATATATATATACAAAATTACAGTTGTATATATATATGTATGTACAATTATGTATATATATATATATTTAAAAAATTGCATATATATATATATATATATGTAATTTTGTATATACACAATTAAATATAATATATACAATTATATATATATATACAATTATATTATTTATATATATATATATTAATATATATATACATAATATATATATATATCCAATTACACATGTAGATATACATATGTTCTATGTTTTTGTCATTTCTTTTGTTTCTCACCAATTTCCAGGCTCTAAGCCGCGGCCCTTTCCTATGACCTTCGACAAGCCCGGACGAAGAGACGATGATGGCATGTTTCAAATCACCAATTTAGCAAGGCCATCATTATATATATATATATATACATTTTTCCAGCCATTATACATATTATACTACGTAATGTACCATGAGGACTCACCAAGGGGGAGCTACTTCGAAATAGTTGGCCCAATCTGACCCTCACTGCGCAACACGCAGTGCTTCCGAGGCTCTGAGACACAGAGTCCTTTTGACTCATTTCCCATCTCCACGGTCTCGATTTTCACCTCCGCAGCAGATTTTTGGGTCTTTGGTACCCTCCAGTGTACTAAGCCATTGCCCATGGCCCATGGAAAATCCCCCTAGAAATGGAGGTTTAGTTCGCCGGGAAAAGCTGTCACATGAGACAGCTAACCTACTACAGAGGGATTGCATGTACCGAATCAGACTCTAGCAAATTAACAGAGAAACAATCTACGAATGGTCGGGTTTCCATATCCATTATGTGATTTACTGGAGCGATCTGGAGACAACTTCTCAGGTGGCTTTTCATGGCATCAGATGGGCGAATTTGTTGCAGAATGGAAAGATGTTGAACAGTTGGCTACCTGACAAATGTATCCATGGAAATGTCATTTCGAAAGCAATACTCCATACACCAGAGACTCTTCCTTATTCAAGATGTGTGTATTTCCTGCTATCCTGCTCTCTTTGAAAGTACACATCTGTACATGTTCAGGTTCTCACTTCATTTCAGCATTGCCTTCATTTCCCATGGCGTCACCTGATCCCCTGGCCCAATCGCCTCCATCCCTGCGGCATCCGTGTTTTGCCAGGAGTAGAAATCGACCTCTTCGCCAAGAACTAACGAGGCAGTCCCGAAGTTGCTGTTCACGAAGCCAACATATCCTGCGTCTGAGCAACAAGACAGTGGCTGAGATTGGCTGAGATGGGAATGCAATCCATACAACCGCTGTGAGATGGCTCAAGGGTGATCTCATGTTCCCTAAACTTCGCGGATTAGCCCCATCTGGTCAAATTTGGTCAAAAGATCTCGGACCTGGCAGTTGACCATACCCCCATGAAGGTGAGTTCCATCCGAATGTCCCAGAGTATCCCATGAATAAATCCCATGAATAAATCCCAGTACATTCCATTACATTCCATTTAATCCCCATGTTCCCATTTTTAGATATTTTTAGTAGTTACCATACGTAAAGACGCCCATGAAAATCCCCAAATTTACCCCATGAAAACATGAGCGAAGAGTACTGATCCGAAACGTCCTTGGTCCAACTGAATTTCAAGCTCTGCTGCCTTGTCCCCATCCAGCTGCACAATTCCATAGGTGCCTCAAAGGGTCACTGCTGGTGACGATGGCGCTATGGACGGCTATGGAAGGCTATGGAACACCAATCATCCAGATATGTTTGCAAGATGACACAAAATGATTGGGAGACACTATAGGACTTTAGGCTACTCAGCCCAAAAGCAAAAAAAACATGGTTCATAACACCTCTCCAGTCCAGCCCGGCCTCTCACATCGAACCTCCCGTTGATTTGGATGTCTTTGACTCGCACCATTCCGCCATCACCCTCAAAGGACACCTCTACGGATTGAAGCACCACATCCTCGCCCAGCTGCGCCAATGTGTCGTGGCTCAAAAAATCGCACCAGAAAAGACCGGAGCTTTGGGAAAATCATCACCAAAATGAAGATGTTCCAAGATGTTCCAAGATGTTCCAATGCCATCAAAATGATTACCCGATGGGAAAAATCCCAATGCCAAAAATGTCAAACCAGGATGAAATCAGAAAAAAAGTCCTGGCCAATTTTCACCTGCACCGTCTCATCGTCCCCCGCCTAGAGATGTGGAAAAGCCAATGGGAAACCCCGTCTCGGAAAAGGATCGCAAAATGGTGGGCTTTCCAGATCTATGTGAGTTTACATGAAATTGGTAGATTCTGAGATGTTTATTTAATTTATAGTCTACGGTGAACATTTCTGAGGATCATTGAAATATATTGAAATGTGAAATGGATTGAAATGGAAGAGATGACCTGGGACTGTACTGGTTGGATTTCGGGGCAGGATGACAGATACCAACTAGCAACTCTGCATCTTTGGGTTGGCTTTTCAGACCCTCATTGCAAATCTCCCCGATTCGGCCCAATAAATAAATATAATAAATCAAAGATCACTTGCGGCAAAAAGAGAGAGCCAACTTCTACAACCGCCCATTTGAAACAGTTCGAATTAAGACAGTTGAGGCACCTCATTGGAAGGGCCCACACAGCCCAGAGTGAGCACATCCTGTGCTGTTCCTGCTCCCTTCAGGGTCAAGGCTGGGCCAGCACCTCAAATGCCGAAGAGAAATCAAAATGTGTCAGGGTTCCTTTCAATTACATATACACATATACACATATACACATATACACATATACACATATACACATATACACATATACACATATACACATATACACATATATACATATACCCGAGGGGCCCCAGGTTCTCCGATGGAGAAGCGGTGGGGTTGGGTGGGGTGGGGTGGGGTGGGGCATGGTAGCGTCATGTTACGTTGCTGCTACGTTCATGGGAGGGGTGGGGTGGGGTGGGGCATGGTAGCGTCATGTTACGTTGCTGCTACGTTCATGGGAGGGGTGGGGTGGGGTGGGGCATGGTAGCGTCATGTTACGTTGCTGCTACGTTCATGGGAGGGGTGGGGTGGGGTGGGGCATGGTAGCGTCATGTTACGTTGCTGCTACGTTCATGGGAGGGGTGGGGTGGGGTGGGGCATGGTAGCGTCATGTTACGTTGCTGCTACGTTCATGGGAGGGGGGGGGTGGGGTGGGGCATGGTAGCGTCATGTTACGTTGCTGCTACGTTCATGGGAGGGGTGGGGTGGGGTGGGGCATGGTAGCGTCATGTTACGTTGCTGCTACGTTCATGGGAGGGGTGGGGTGGGGTGGGGCATGGTAGCGTCATGTTACGTTGCTGCTACGTTCATGGGAGGGGTGGGGTGGGGTGGGGCATGGTAGCGTCATGTTACGTTGCTGCTACGTTCATGGGAGGGGGGGGGTGGGGTGGGGCATGGTAGCGTCATGTTACGTTGCTGCTACGTTTGATGCGGCCTCTCGGGTATATATGTTACGTTGCTGCTACGTTTGTGCTGTCAGCGTTGGCTCGCTTTAGAAGTACCCTTTCTTGTGGCCTAGTGGCTCCATCGCGAGCCTTCCTCGAAGCTCCGTGGGAAAAGTGAAAAAAAAAGTTACACCGTTGTTGCGTGCAAGCTCCTGACAAAACATTAAGTGTTCACACTATAGTATATAGAATGAAAACACAGAAAAAACGCCTGACTGTCAGCACTTGCAATTTTCTACGCATTGCCAATTCATTGCAAATACCAGTACAAAATGAGCATGACGCAAAATGCCTGAGAAAACACAGTACATTTGCTCAATTTTACATGACCACGATATGACTATACAATGAAAATTCACCATTTTACACCAAAAAATGCGATTTCTGACTTCTGAGAACATAATGTATGGCACAAGATGACTCTGCTTTAAAACGGACGAAAAAAAATTGATCCGTTTAACATGATGTTGAAAAGGACGTTGCCACTATTGAAAAATTGGCAAATTACCTAGGCGCCAGCTCTTTTTTTTACATCTTCAAGCTCAAACACAGCTGAGGGTATCGGAGAACCTGAGGCCCCTCGCGTACATATATACACATACATATACATATACATATATATATATATATATATATTTACATGTACATATATATATATATACATATTATATATATATATATGTATTACATATATATGTGTGTGTATTACATACACATATGTATATATATATATATGTATGTATAGTTATATGTATCTGTGACGTATATCAGTGCATCTGAAATCACGTCATATCATGTTATTCACAAATGAGTTCAAATGTATGTCCATACACGTCGCAAATCACTTTCTGCTGATTGGCACGTATCTGGATCGACGAACTGCACTTTCCCTAGGTGTATGTCATATATGTATATACGTACACACATGTTTTGTGTACAGCGAGAGAGAGAGAGAGAGAACTTCTGTATTTATATATATAATATACATTATATATCTATATGTAATTCATATCTATATTATATAAAATAATAAAACATAATATAATATGAAATGATATGATATGGTGTAATACAATACAATATAATATAATATAATACAATGTAATATAATATATTATAATATATAATAAATAATATAATATATAATAAATAATAAAATATATAATATAATATAATATAATATAATATATAAAATATAATATATAATAAAATATAATATATAATAAAATATAATATATAATAAAATTTTATAATATTATATATAATATATAATATAATATATAATAAAATATATAATAATATATAATTATATATAAAATATAATATAATATATAATATATAATATATCATATAATATAATATACAATATATAATATAAAATATAAAATAAATATAATATATATATATTATAATATAATACATATAATATACTAAGTAATATATAATATATAATATTATATATTATATATATTTTACAATATAATATATAATGTATGATATTATATAATATCATATAATACAATATAATACAATATAATATAAATAATATATTATATTATATTATATATAGACTGTCATTGTTCAATGCGTAATATGCATTGGGGGGTAACAAAAAGAAAATGAAACGCTTGTGTACATGGCGAGCAAAACGTTCATCTTGCTTCCGAGCAACTCAAGTCCGCAGTGGTGCGGAAGTAGTGCAAACCATCCTGGAAGTATCAGCAATGCAACTGGTCAAAGTTGAGAACTCTGCGTAGCGCTGAGCAACTGCAGGTTTTGCCAAGGTGCTTGATCTCCAGTGATGAGGTCCACAAGGCATTCTTTGAGCTGAAATTTGAGGTGTAGTGGCCTGGAGGTGTCGAGAAATTCCACATCTCCACGCCTCAGTCGCTTTCCAAAGTTGGCGCTGTGAGCTGCGGCAGCAAGGCGATCTTCCACCTTTTGAAGATTCAACTTCAAGTTGCAAAAGAGGTAACCCTTGGGCAATCAAACATGGCTTGCTGGAAAATCCCCTATTTAGTTCGATGATTTTCCCATGACTTTCATTTCTGTTGTAGATTTTGTAGGCGAATTTCTCATTTGCCATGTTTGATTACCAGAGGCTATAATTACAGTAGTAAGTAGTAAGCATCACAAAGCATAGGGCCGTCCTTTTTCCCTTAAGGAAATGGCATAGCGTCATGGCGTGTTGATGTTTCTGATCTTTGTAGCGGGCTGTTTCCAGCTCCAGCACTCTTCAATGGGAACCTTCCCCTACTGCTTTGGCTCTTGCACCTCACCCCGTGGGTCATGGGGCGGACGCAGCTCTTCGGGCGCATGCGTCTGGTTCCATTTCACCGGATCCTGAGAATCCTGATGCGCCAAAGGATCCTCGTGCACTTCGGTGGTTCTGGAGCTTTCCTGACTGTTCTCCCAGTTGTCCCAGGTCTCATCATCATCCAACATCTCCTGATGAACCTTATGACTGGAGGGGCCCATGGACATCTGAGATATGGACCTGGAGACCTGGTCCTTGCTGGTGTGTCTGCTGTCCGTCCCATCCTTACTGGGAGACCATTCATCTTCTCGCAGGCCGCCGCAGCAACCCGTGAGATTCCGAAAGGACCTGGAAAGTGGACGCCAGACCATGGCCAAACCCCACAAAGCTGGAAAAACTACCACAATGACCACGGTGAGACCGAACCATGCGGCGGTTTCATCGAAAAAAGGCGCCGGGTTGCTGGTGCTCTGCTTGTTGAAGCATTGGATGGTATGGGCTATTGCAGGTTGTGCTGCTGGATCAAGGATGAGCCATTTCCGGCCCCAGAAGGCTTCATTCGGATCCACGGTGCGCTCACCACCGTAGATGTAGCAAACATAGTAGCCGTAGGCATAGGCTTGACACCAAACATCCTGAGAGCACTGCTCCTGGCACTCTTGCTCAGTGTCAACGGTGCCAAAGTAGCGTTTCATATTGACGTCCATTGCAGCTTTGCAATCGCGATCAAAGGAATACAGTGGCTGAGCAATGGTGTCACCAACGCACTTGCCCTCAATGCAGCGGGATCGGTATGTGGATGAGATTCCATCGTCACATGGTTCACCCTCGGGGACAGGTGAAAATACACAGTCCCCCGTCCAAGGATCACAAGCTCCTTGCCCTGCACAGAAGTCCGGGCTGACGCAAACCTTTCCAGCACAAATGTCGAAGACAGCCCGACGACAAAGCCCAGCATCGCATCTGCCATCCACTGCACCTCCAGGTTGACTGCTGCAAGCTGTGCCATCTGGTTTGGCTTCGAAAACACAACTGCCAGTGGATGGATCGCAAGCACCCCGAACTTTGGTGGTTGGCGTCAAACAGCTATTCAAGGTTTGACACTTCACACTATATCGGACGCATCTGTCCTCGATCCCCACGCACACCGCCGACTGACACGTTTTGGTGTGAGTGTAGAAGAGGCCGTCATCACATGGCGTTCCATCTGGATGGGTGGAGTAGTAGCATTGGCCATCCCCAGGTGCACAAACACCCACCTTCTGACAACTATCTGTTAGTGGGCAAGTCACTCCCTTAATGATACAAATGTTGGCTGGGCAGTGCTTGTACGTTCCACAGAACGTACCAGGACGATGATTGAAACAGGTGCGGGGCATCTGATCACAGTTGTCTGGTGTACCGTCCCAGCGCAGGATCTCTGTTTCACCCTCACAGACATCTGGCTCTCCCGGAACACCTCTCAGTTTCCAGCAATTGCACTTGTGCCAGTTGCCACAATTTGCCTGACAATCATCACTTTCTCGACCATAACATTGGCTGCTGTCAAGCAAGGCCGCGGGACAGCGCACATTTTCGAAGTCATCTGCAAGCCCCTGACAGGTACCAGTGGCGTCGTCGAAGTTCACTGAAGCTGCCAAGAGTGTAAAAAGGCACTCGTCATACATGGCAGATGCGATGGAGCCACAATTCTGGCAAGAGATGTTACATGCTTGTGAAGCAGATTCATTGAAAAAGGCACATCGGCCCGCATCGGCACCCCAGAAGGTCAACTCCATGCAGGAGTTGATGGCTTCCCTGGGGATAGTTGTCCAGCAGTGATCTTTGTAGCATGGAGGCTCTGGCACTTCCGCGCACAGTGGGGGACCACTATAGTTAACCACATTCACTGCTGTGGCATTGTCTGTACAATTGGTTTCATTGCTTCCATTGCTGCCATTAGTGGTGTTGTTGCTCCCTTGAGCGGATGCAATTTGCAGCGCAGATGCGAAAAGAGTGAGACTAAAAAGACAGCGACGGAATGGAAGCGTGCCCTGAGCCCTGCAGTTCAGCCGACTTGGCCGCTGCAAGAAAGACATGGCTCGAGCCAAATCATCCACTGGGTCCAACGACTCAAGCACAAAATCTGACTCTCGGCGCTACAAAATCCTCTGAACCTTCGATACATTTGAACCAGGGAGTACATTTGATGCATCCGCACAGAGGCCCTAGTAGACATTTTCCGACAAGAAGAACTGCATTTGTATGTCATCCCTTAATCCACTAGCTATGGAAGTGTCGTTGTTCAGATGTGCACCAGGCATCACCAGGCCGCAAATCTGCATCAAGTCGCGGCATCCGTTGACTCTCGATGGAATACAAGATAACCACCCCAATGATCGTAGCCGTGTAAAGCACCGTGGAGAGGGTCATTTTCAGCCTGAGGTGTGCATCCCACATCCCAAGGCACCCAAAATACCATCCCATTTTTGACAAAACCGGCATTCGCACCACATCAACCATTGCCATTTGATGAAATTTGATGAAAAACGACATTTAAATAATGTGAAGTGATATATCCAAGAAGCATTTGAGCTTTTCCATGGCTCAGCTTCTGGTCTTTTGCAAATTTCAGCGCATTTGCTGCACCGCTCTTCAGCTTGCCCTTCGCAGCGATGGCGGTGGGGGTTCTACATTCTATGGCTTGAGAGCCGCAGTGGCCATATCTGACATGCCGCCAGGCCGCAATGAGGGAATCAAAATGGGTGGAAACCCTGCAATTCAGCTGAAGATTTTGATGGGATTCCACGTGATTCCAAGTGATTCCACTGAATTACAATCAAAACTACCATGAACTATCATCATTGCCATAAATGCGTCCTCTAACTTGTTCACGATCTTCTCGTTCGAGACTTTCGGCATGGCTACAGCTGGAAGAGGGCTCAAAAGACCATGCGTTGTTGCTGGGTCTCTGGGCCTCCCGGGACCACCTTGGAGACTTGACCAAAACTGGCTGACACTGGCACCGGACCGCACCTGAGACCCAAAGATCTGCTGTCTGTGTCTGCAACATGTCAACCCAAATCATTTCTAGGCTTGGACCAGTGGGCCGGCCAAAGGTCACAGCAAATGTCAAACATGTCAAACAGCAAATGGTCTTGTCCTGCAATACATATCAACACATCATGCTCTGCCGCACGTCGTGGATGCAAAGTCCAAATTCAAGGCCCCCAATCCACAGTTCATGTCTTCCTTTTTGCAACCTATGTTGCATATGTAAAAATGTAACCCAATTCGCCCACATCTTTTATTTTTAGCATGTCGGATTGTGGCGAACAAAAATGAGAACATCGCCACCCCACAAGTTGGTGAGGTTCCCTCAGCTTCCAAGCAATGCAATCGCCCACTGTGAGCGTGGCGAAATTCCTGCGACGGATCTATCACGGCTGGTTGAGTAATAGCTATCCCGATTATGGACTAAAGTATCACCAATAATGCCACCCAAGGAGTATACCCAATGATGGTTGATACGGGGAATCATACCCAAATGACCCTATTGCAGTTTAGTGAATTATCATGATTCATCATTCATCCAGGTAGTAATCCCATCCCTCATTATCCCCCATATGACATGCCCCCATTCTATGGTCCTAGATATATACATACATACATATATATATATGTAAATCCCCTATTTTACCACGGTTTCTGGGTGGGATGGGATTCCAACCTTCTGAATTTCACCAGCCAACAGGTTTTTTTTTTAGCGCTGGTGTGGTTTTTGATAAGAGCGGTCCTGGGGTTTCACCCTGTTTCACCCCAGTCGCGGCACCCGCCTCAAAGAATTCTCCAGCACAGCTCTGGGATTGTGAATGTCTAAGAAATCCTGGCGAGACAGTAGAAATCCTCTGTGGCACCAGCCTATGAAGTTCTATAGATCAAATCACTGGGGACCATTGATTCGAATGGTACTGGAGAAGGCACTGGTACCATAGAAGTAGAGGCTTATAACTTATTACTGATTCTATCTGATTCTTGATCGCTGCCTCCATAAATTGACAAACTCACATGCAATGGGCACCCAACATACGCCAGGGAGACGGAACTTACTGGTTGGAGCTTCACAAAGCTCCCTTTCTGCAGTGATGTGTTGGTGATCTCAGTGACACGTCGCTCTGGGCTAAGCGCAAAAGGAAATGGGGAACATTTGGGCACCCAACATATGACAGTTTCCAGCGCCATTTGTTGGGGACACTTTTTTGATCAGCCACGACCATGATGATAAAGCTCTGGATTCGGATTTGAGGGCATCCTACTTTGGACAAACAAAAAAATCGGGTACCACCGCTGGAAAAGATCCGGTGTTGGGGTCCCCGTGCCCGGACCAAATCACCTTCTTGTAGCAGGAGGTTTTGCCTCATCAGGGAGAAAAAAAAGCGTCTGTGGGTTGTGGTCATCCATCCCATAAAAATCCGTATAGTGAGCAACCGTATTGGGGCACTGATGACCATCGTCACGTCCAATATGGGCAAATAATCCAATTTTTAACCCTAGCACATATATATATATATATATACAAACGGTTTTTATAACTCACAGATACCAACCCAAATGAGTGTTCCAAACACCAGCCTGTGACTCCAGGGAAAGACCCATCGACATCCAGAGACCATGACTGACCATGCTCCCAGCACAGGGATGCTAAAAAATGCTACAGCGCGTGTTCGTCGATTTCAGGCAACTTGGGCATGGACATCATCCAGTATGGGAAGAAGCACGTTCCCTCTTCTGCCTGAGCCGGTAGAGCCCTTTTTGTAGCACACGCAAAACGACGCCACCAGGTCATCTTGGCTGGAGAATCCATGAAAGAAATATTTGGCCACAAAGTTCGACCTCAAAGCACGTCAAAGCACTTAGCTTGAAGTTGGAAAAGAAATGTTGAAATGGGACGAAAATCCAAGGGTATCTCCAAGTCCCACTTTTCTGTTCCAGGGTGAAACCTGGGTCCTCAGGCGATGAATTCCTGTACACCTCCATGCGTTGATCTCGAAGTGGCGGGGTTCGTCATCTGGCATCAAGTTTTGGCTGGACTTCCATGTGGGATTATGGTCACAAGACTAAAAATATCCTTGATATATCTATACATTGACACCTTTTTCAATTTACGGTGAAAAAAAACATAAGACTCGAAGTTGGCGAATTCGAAGCCTATCTGGCAACCCCTTCGTTTCAAGTCCCGTCGACTCACCCGAGCCGCCTCAAAGAGCATCGGCCAGGAAATGTTGAGCCGCGCCAAGTGATCCAAGGCCGATTGAGGCAGAATGATCCTGGCCGCGACTAAGGCCGCATGGCATCATGGGGCCATAAGGGGCGCCATGGCCATGTCCGGGGTATCCAAAACTCACTTAGCACTACATTTTTCTCACTTAGCACGCTCAAATCGTCTCACTCAGAACTCACAAAGTTTTAAACCTCTGGAGGGCACGAGAAAAGAGGATCTGAAAATTCATCACTTAGCACTTACGCATTTTGCAAACCTCTGGAATGCGACTGGAAAAACGTTCGGCTCACTCGAAACTGTCTTGATCCGACGCTTCAACTTGCTCACTGACTTGATGCTACGCTTGAACTTGCTCACTCGAAACTGGTTTGATGCTACGCTTCAACAGGAATGCAATGGGAAACATGCATCATCAATCAACTCTTGCACAGCTTCCACAGCACAAGGCCAAGGATACCTGGAAGTCACCTAGATACTTTGAGGAAACATTGCGCTTTTCTATCCATGTTTGAACCTAATCCTGCTTTTGCTAAGCCCTTCAGAGAGGTATAAGCAATACAGAGGCGAGAGTGCCACAACAAGCACGCATCCATGACGATCAATTCCCCCAGTTACAGACGCCCCAAAAAAATGAAAGGTGGATGTGGTTCCTTCTCCATGGTATTTACACTCTTCTGTTGTTGTTGTTGATGATGATGATGACGACGACGATGATGATGACGACCCTAAATGAAGAAGCATCACACTGGTCGGGGCATCCTTGTTGGTGAACCTCCCCATTTCATCAGTTCATATCACCATCTGGTAAATATGCCTCATGTCACGGGACATCAGACCCAAGCCATGGATCTTGATGACATCCATTGGCATCGGCCAAGTGGCTTGTTTCCCTTCTCGAGCTCTTCTTTGCCCATAAAAGTCACTGGGAAGACTTGGTACTGGTGGTCGAAACGGCCTGGTGCATTCCGAATTCTCAAAATGCAGAGCTAGCCTAGCAGGTATCATGTCATCCCAATATTTGTTATGATAATACATTTGGGGACTATTTTTTTAACCAACATTGAGATATATACATATTTCCAAATACATATACATATATATATATATATGATACATATATATATATATGATACATATATATGACGATGACGCGCCTGGCACACCGCCTCCGAAGAAGCCACCTGCTTGGTGGGCGACGGTGAAATTCAACCGCAGTGAGGTGAGGTGTAACGCAAATCAACTTTATATAACAATGTATAATTATATATAATAATAATAATAAAAATATTAATAATATTTAAATATATATATATATATGTATATATTTAAAATATATATATAATATAATAATATATAATAATATATATAATAAATAATATATAATAATATATAAGAATAATATATAATAATATTTAATAATATATAATAATATATAATAGTATATAATAATATATAATAATATTTCATAATATATAAATATAATAATACATAATAATATATAATAATATATAATAATATATAATAGTATATAACAATATATAACAATATTTAATAATATATAATAATATATAATAATAATATAATATATAATAATATATAATAATATATAATAATATATAACAATATATAATAATATATAATAGTATATAATAATATATAATAATATATAATAATATATAATAATATAAAATAATATATAATAATATATAATAATATATAATAATATATAATAATATATAATAATATATACATATATAATAATATATACTAATATATAATAATATAAAAATTATATATATATATACATGATTATATATAATATTATATATATTATGATATATATAATAAGTTATAATAATATTTATTATATATATAAATAACAAAAAATAATATATAATAATATATAATAATATATAATAATATATAATAATATATAATAATATATAATAATATATAATAATATATAATAATATATAATAATATATAATAATATATAATAATATATAAAAATATATAATAATATATAATAATATATAATAATATATAATAATATATAATAATATATAATAATATATAATAATATATAATAATATATAATAATATATAATAATATATAATAGTATATAATAATATATAATAATATATAATAATATATAAATATATAATAATTTATAAATATATAATAATATATAATAATATATAATAATATATAATAATATATAATAATATATAATAATATATAATAATATATAATAATATATAATAATATATAATAATATATAATAATATATAATAATATATAGATATATAATAATATATATATAATAATATATATAATAATATATATAATAATATATATATAATAATATATATAATAATATATATAATAATAATATATATATATATGATAATAATAAATATAATATATATACTACCTATATTCTTGATGGTAATCTTAAGCATGCGTTGGAAAATTTAAAAAAATATCTGTCATTCCATGAAACATCCTGGTTTTTCTAACACGATTCCCAGTTCTTCAATTGGTTATGACTGACTAAGATACTGTTCAATTGATTGTCAAGAACATATCATGATTGTATCAATAGACTGTTCAATCGACTATGATGATCATATATCATCCACATCATATACCATCTGGTTATTTAACATGGCCATGGAAAATCACCATTTTTAATAGGTAAACCATCTATAAATTGGCCATTTATACCATGGCTATGTTAAATTACCAGAGGGTACTGTATCTTTTTTTGTTGGGTGTCTCACATCGGATACCCCCAACACGCTGACGGCCTGGCCCGCGGTCACCACCAAAGAGGCCGCCGCCGAACATGGCCTGTGACGATCGAAAATCATGGTCTATATCAATGGATGATAATTGGGTATGGTTAATTAATCATACCCAATTATCAATCGATATTAGTGGTGATCATACCCAATTACAGTTGTTAATTGGTGATAATTGGGTATGATCACCACTAACATTCAATAGATGCTGTTTTGTCTCCAATGATGTTGGTTAACATCAAGTTGAAATTGATGACATAGCGACATAGCATCAACATTCACGATTGTAATGGTTGATTATGATTGAATGAACCGATGAGGATCAATGGATATCAATGATATGTTATCAATGATTATAATGATATGATATCAATGGGGAAAATTCACAAAGAGTTACAGTAACAGTCAGAAGTAGCGAGGATGAAGAGCAGCACTGCTAGGTGTTGAAAGCCGTGTCCAATACTGTACAAAAAACAAACGAATTCATGGGGCATGATTCGGGGTTTGATTCGAGGTGCCTCTACTTCTGTTTCTAAACAAAATCGTGTACATCATTAAAAAGATATTCAGTATTCAGTATTCAGGTCATAATAAGCCTTATATAGAATTATTTATATATAATTGTACGCGTACAACCCCTAAACCGCCCATTTAAAAAAAAACGGTGACCCTCCAGGAATCCAGCGGGGATCATGGAAAGCCCTAGATATGTCTTGGTGTAACTTTTGAGACCACTTCGCCGAATGCTAGAAATGACCCAAAAACAACACTGGTTTTGGGGTATCTTAAATGTTCTGAAAAAATCTGTTTGGATTCAAATGTTTTTGGAGAAGTTTTCACACTCACAAACATGGAGATCAACCTGGGCTATCTACACTCTAAACGCTGAAGTGTTCGAGTGGCGTTTGACCAGTTCCCAACAAACAACAGTCGGTGCGTTCGTACTATAAAAACAGCTTTGATTTCATATCTCAGTGTGGCAGGTATGTTTCACATCTCGTGTCAGCCGTTGCCCCTGGGCATCCACCCTTGTTCTCTGAGAACCGAACTCACGACGTAGCGTCGCAATGGCCGCTACCGTCGGCGTCGAATTCTGTACAAGGCCGGAAGCTGTGGCGAAAGCGGCGACACGTCAAGCAGAGGATGCTGGAAACCCATGGAAAAATAAGTAAATCCCGCATCATCCCACTATTGCTTGGTTGATCTTGGCTGTAAACTCCATCAATTCGAAGGGTGAACATACGCATGCTTTCCACATGATCAAAATCAAAGCAAAACACGCGGTCGTAAAAGGAACATGTTGCTGTGAGCACAGATCATTGCGAATAAGAGGTATAGTTAACCTCAAAAAAATAGAAAAACAAACATGTATACTAAAATAGTGACAAATTCGTGTTCCATCATTTTGGGGATTACTTCCACTGAAAGAAGCACACGTCTCTCATGAAGGCGCTGCCCAAAATTGTTCTTTTCCTCTCATTGGCTTCGGGTGTTCCGGCCGCTCACCTGTCACAGGGATGATTAAAATTGCGGAAAAAATGATACTACTGCACGCCACTACAGTAGCCTGACTCTTCTCTTCTGCTCTTGTGCTTTCTACAAGTTCACCCAGCAAAGCAATAATTGCCAAACCACAACCCAGTTGCAACATGTTGCAAAAAACGCTCTCTGTCTCTCTCTCATTCTGTTTCACCCAGAACAAGCGTATGCAACTATGCCAATTATGCGTAATTATGCAATATCATGATTTTTCTGCTCGTGTTTTCCACCCTCAACGCGATAACAGAACGCTACACTGTCCGCTACACCCGCTCCGCCCGCTCCGCCCGCTCCGCCCGCTCGGCCCGCTCAGCCTCTGCGACAGGTTCTGGTTGTTGGCTACGTTGAACACGTTGAATGACCCGAAACCTGCGATCGACTCCTCGCAGTGGAATCAGCGAGGCAATTCGACTGTAGAGATCCCAAACACCGACGCCACCAGCGGCACCGATGCCACCAGCGGCACCAACGCTCAAGCACAGCGTCTTGCAAGACATGCCTTTGTTGGAGCTGCACGACTGCCTTCGGGCAGCGTCACCATTTCGCTTTCTGCAACCACACATGGGAGAGTTGAAGCACAAGATGGCAACACTTCTTGGCAGTACGTGTGTTTTTCTCACACCGAGTCCGCAGCCCGCAGCTACAACAAACCAGTTGCGCATCAGAGGCTGAAGGATGGAGTGGACAAAACAACCAATCACGGGCCGCTACTATGGTCTTTGGCACAGAATCGAGCATCTTCTCAAAAATATCCCTCCACACTTGACACCGACATGAGAGGCCCATTCCAAATATGCTCTCAACCCTTCAAATTTCTTGATAAGCTCTACAAGCAAACATCGACTGACCTGGATTTGATTGGTGTATTTAAACTGCATGAAAACAAGAAACAAAGAGGCAGTCGAGGGGCAACCTTGCACCGACAAGAATTGCACAGTCTCTTGAACAAGCATGACAAGGATTCATGGGAAGCCCGCGATGGTGAGCTTTCCTGCACCTGCTGGGCTCTGGCTAATGCGTAAGCACTGCATGGACAATGGATACATCCTCCCAGCTTGGCAGGGCCTTAAGCCAACGTGATGGTATGTGAAGAACTGCTGCCTCTCGCGGGTTATGTGTCAAGCAGGCATCGACACCTGCTTTCACTAAAACAAACAGGCTGGCAACTTCACTACTAGTAGGTTTGTGCAACTTACTGTCTCACGAGTCTCACGCTGTCTCACGGGCTCCTGCAGAGCCAAAGATTCCGCTTCACGTGGGTCGCAGAATCAAAAAAAAAATATCATCTGCCTGGAAAGACACAGGTCGTTTCTCTTAGTCACTAGGTCAATGTGCCTATTTTTACGGTCACTGGAAAGTTTCCCCTTTTTGAAGATCCGACAAGGACCTGAATTCCCCTTGCTTTTGCCCTGCACGTCCTGACACTCTCCCCCCTAACATACATGCTCAGCATCGACGCCGAAGGGATTCGAACCCTTCGATGGTAATGCACAACCCCGTTGATCAGTTTAGTAAGGGAGAGGCAATAGGAAAACTAGAGAGCATGTTGAGGGTTATCTCGTGGGCTAGTTTTGGCTCGGGCTGGAAGGACTTATTGATCGCCTTAGGTCAACTGCGGGGCATTGGATCTACATCTGCTTGTGGAGATATTCCCCGCCCAAGTGAAGCGGCCCTTCAGGATATTTTTTCCCGAATGCAGGGATGACCTGATATTGCACAAGCCATTTGTCACAATCCTACCAACCAACACCTCAGAATAGCCGACGTGTTCGACCTGTAACTCGTCACCAGTAAAAACTCTGCGACTACGGCGTGAAAGCGTCAGAAATTCTGCATGACTTCTAGCCTTGCTTTGCATCACAAAGAATCTACATTGTCTACGTCAAAGGTTCTGCAAAATGGAGAAAAATCGAGCCTACAAGCATCTAAGAGCAACATGACCACGATCTGCGATCAATCCTTGGCCCTATATACGGAGCCTTGCAGCCTTGTTGCAAAACTTTGAATTAGTGACCCACTTGGTTTTCAAGTTCTGGTGAAGTTTGCTAAAGAGTCTGCAAGACAAAACAAGTGAGCTTGGATAACATTGAAGCATCCCTTCTCCGAAACTCTTGAAGATTCAGGGATGCTTTCAGGCCAGTCGCAAGCAAAGCTTTGAATGTTCATAGCGTTCAGCACACATCAAGTCCACGCGAACCTTCCTCAAGAGGTCCACTGTGCGGAATCTCATGGGTGTATGGGTAGAGGATCAAAAAAACAGTATTATACAGGGATCAAAAAAAATGTTGGACTCGACCTGAGATGTCCATTCACATTTCGAGCTCTCGTCAAACCATGCATTAATGTCTGTGTGCCGAGCATGAGCACAGAATCAGGTTGCTCGCTTTGGGCTGTGAAAGATGTGAAAGGCAAATGGCATGGAGCTTCTCCTTGAATTGACCATGCACAGAAAGTCGAGGTCAAACCAAAATTTGGCATGTCGCAGCCAGGTCCGAGAATCTGACAGACTTGAGACAGGATCGAGCCACATGAGCTGCGCAAAAAGTCTTTTTACTCTGCCACGTGCTATGGATTGGCTTTCGTCGCACTTACGCAGACCTCTTTGGTACAATAAACGATCGCCACGGTAACCGCTTACGCGCTTGGCGCACAAGGCTAGGCAAGCAAATGTGCTGGATCTCGCGATTGACAAACATTTCAAACATTTGTCCGCTTCTGTTTCTGGTCTATTTCATCAGAAACCTGCAGCCTTTCCAAGCAGAAAAAGAAGCACCAAACAGTTTTTTCTCAAGTCTTCTTGGTTTCTGAAAGTCTTGCTGAATGAGGTCTTACATGGCTTGGCTTCGGCCACTGCAATGTTGTCCTCGCCTTACCTTTTGGGGGAGGAATATGAGTACCAAATGCATCCTAGCATCGATGCAATGTTAAATTCTGCGAAGATGAATCATCAAGCTAGGGTTGTTTCCGTGGGTTGGGCACATCTTTGCCAACAGAGGCCATCATCGCACAGCTCTGGTTAGCATCCACCGGCCTTGGCTGAGACCTCTTTCATGCTGTCTGACAGGTCCTGCGAGTGGGGTGTTTGCATGGCGTCGATAGTTTCAACAGAATTGGAAGAGTTCAACAACAAAGCTGTGTCTTTTTGCACTTTTCACCGTTCAGCACCAAGACTTGCAAGCTGGATTTGGGCACCACAACAAGTTTTTAAAATATGCGTTGCTGGCTCAAGCTGCATCACGCTGGCAAAGCTGTCGCATGGTGTTGAAAGCCAAGTACTTGGCGGAGGCTGACCCCCCAGCTTTATTTCATTTGTGGAATGCATTTCATCATTTGGTTGGCTTTCAGGTCCCAAATTGGACGGATAGCGGGGGTTGTCTTCAAGTTCAAGGAAACCAAGGTCGACCAAAATGCAGGGAACAATGTTGAAAGAAACACGAAATGAGTGGCAAACCCAAGCTTAAATCAGTGATCGAGGGTTTTCGGGGCCCCAGGTTCTGGCACATCGCTGAGCGGGTGGCCGGCCGCCAGCCTGCTCAGTGAGGTCCAGCAATATGCGGTGTCCTTGATTTGCACCGAGTAGAAGCCCGAGAGGTTGTGTTTTTTTGAGGAACTTGGCAAGGGGTTCCGGCTGCCAGCCAGACCCCCCAGCGAGGTTGCTGAATCACCAAGGTCATTGAGCGGGCAACAACTAACCTGATGTATCGGTTAGCAAAACATTGTGTTGATGAAAGCGCAACAAATCTCTCAATATAGTATTCTTCTGAACTTGTGCTGTTTTCGTTGGCCTGGAAACGCGTAGGTTTTGTGTACTGTGCAGCTGTCACCTCCGTTTTCGGTCTGAACAGAGTGCAGCATATTTCGTGTGTGCATCATCTGCAGGAACTATGGTTCTGCATGTTGAAATTCGATGCGCTGCCAGGCCCAGGGGTGTTCTGGCATAACATGCAGCGCGGGACACAGCCCACGTCCAATGCCCGCAACTTACTGCAGATCTGAACCGAAAAACGCCAACCAATCTGAGTTCAAAGCAAATTGCTGATCTTTCTCCAAAGTGGGATCGGAATTTACCGGCCAAACTCTGGCTGAAGGCAGTCGTCCCGCAAAAGATGCGATCCATTCAAACAGAGTGACAACTTTGCTGCATTTGCCTAGATGGGCAGCAGGCGCTTTGCAACTTCTTTGATCAAGGCCAGGCCTGAATTCTCAACTACAATCTTGGAGCATGTCCCTCTGACATGCAACAATTCATGAACCAGAGCTACGTGTTCAAGCCGATCTCAGCATCACTTGCTAGGCTCCAACAAAAAGCGGGAAATCTGACAAGGTGGCACACTCTGTTTCCGAAAGCCTGCCGGGTCTCCAAACACAAGTCCAAACGCTCAAAGTCGATGGTTTGTTGCTGCGCCTTCCAAAAAATATCAACAATGAAATTGATTGGATCCTACCAAACTGCGGTAGATCATTGGCCAATATTTGTGTGGCGACTAGTTCCAGAGCGCGCATGGATCCTTTAGGGATCACTTCAATCCATGGGATCCCTTGCTACAAGCTCTACGAGCTCCGGATCGCTGGCAAAAAAAATGGAGGGAAGTTGTCCAAGGAGATGGCTGACATGGCTGAAACCTTTCTTTTCTGGTCAGTTTTGACGACAGGGTCAGGTCACTCAGGTGGCTTCAGCACCTGGCAGTACAAGCCGTTCAGAAACCAAACTTGGCCCAGAGAAACCAGGCTTTGCTACACATCGCTGCCACTGGAACGATGTAAATTCCCTTGGATCCCTCGGACTTCTTGGCACAAACTAGAGATTGGTGCCAAACATCAAGAAGGGAAGTATCAGCGGAACTCCAAGAGGTGGTTGGTTGCCCAAACCTCAAGCCACACTTGCAGTGTCTGCGCAATCGCGAGTTAGAAACCAAACTTGGTACAGTGGAGAAATCAATGAGGTTTTGCCATACATTCCATTGGAGACGGCGGGGAAAACCGTGAGTGGAATGACGTAAACTAAACATGTGATGTGCCACGCGCCAAAAGTTCTGAGACGTTTACATAGTTTCAATTTATTTGGAACCGTCAAATCAACAAGCCGCTGTAACCATCACTTTGACACCGCTGTCCGCAGCACATGCAGCACCCTGTCGGACCAAAATCCGGACGGACCAGGCATGAGAGGTCGGACCGCTTTATCTGAAACCAGGCTGAAGAAGCCCTGCCGCTGGAAGGATGGAAGGTCCAGCAGGAAGTGCAAGTGCGTATGGAAGGGACATCAAACATCATCAAACAGTTGCTGTTTCTGGAATCATGGTAGGTCGGCCAAAAATCGGGAGGTATAGGGCAAACATGCTGAGACTTGAAGAGAGTTTAGGAGAGAAGGGTTTTCCACACTGGAGTTCAGACCACTTCGTTGTTTTTTTGACTGGACATCGCTGAAAGTTGAAAATCGATCTCTGTTCAACCGCGTTTTTGTCAGAGGAAATGTGTGTCAGTGAGATCAAGTTCCTCTGGACACATTGTCTGTTTTGGTTTCTCCACACAAATGATAAGCACTCAGCAGGCTGGATGTCCG